CACAGAGGCGGAGCGGCCGTGGGCCCAGCCACTCAGGTCCTGCCAGGGAGGGGTTGAGAAACCCCTCAGGAGGTGACTGGAGCAGAGACCTGGGATCTGGCCTGGGCCCAGGCTTTTCCACCAGACCAGGGATTTCTCCTGTGGCCAGAGTACAGGGATGAGGGGTGTGGGAGAGGAAGGCAGAGAGGGGTTGGGCACGAGTGGTCACAGAGCGCCTATGAGCAGCAGCCAGGACCTCAGGCTCTGCGCAGGATGGGAGGTCACTGGGGAGGAGGCGCATGGCTGCTGCGCGGGGAAGAGACGGGCAGGTGGGCATGGGGAGCCCAGGGAGGAGGCTCTTGCAGTCAAGGGCGAGGGCTGTGGGGCCTGGACTGGAGCAGCAGTGGTCCTGGTGGGATGGACAGAAGAGGAGGCCCTGGTGTTGGGTGGGCGAGAGGGATGGGAAGGAAGAGGGTAATGAGGGTTGAGAAAGGCCCTTGGGGTCAGGCTTTCCACGTGAGCGTGAGCGGGGCCAGCGCCAGGGGTTCAGGTGACCATAATCCCACCCCCCCAGGGAGTGCCTGCAGGGCACCATCCGCAACAGCCAGGAGGCGGAGGTCTCCTGCCCCTTCATTGACAACACCTACTCGTGCTCGGGCAAGCTGCTGGAGAGGGAGATCCGGGCGGTAAGGCCTGGGGCGGGAGGGGCGCGTCCATATCCCGGGGAGCTGGGCCTTGAGTTGGCATGTGGGGACTGGCTCCTGGGTGCCATTGTCAGGCTGCAGACATTTTTCAAGATCCTTCTCTGTGCGGGGTGCTGGAGGCCTGAGTCGGCTGACTTGAGGGAAGTAACTGGTAAAGAAAACACGCTGGAAAAAAGAGCAGAGCAGTTCAGACTGGAGATTCTCAACCAGGTGACCTGACCTCCATGTCAGAGTCTCAGCCTCTGTGCCTCCGTTTTCTTATCTCTGTTAGAGTCAAAGTTTTAGTTTCTACTTCAAGGCTTGCCAAGACCACAGCAGAGGGTATGTGTGAAATTTGAGTCATGTTCGGCCCGCAGTGAACCCTTGGGTCAGCCTGCCTTTGCTGTGTAACACACCATGCCAGACAGGCATGGACCAACCACATATTTAGCTCATGAGTCTGAGAGTTAGTGATTGGGCTTAGCTGGGTGGTTCTGACCTTGGCTGGGCTTAGCTGGAGCATCAGCTGTTGTGAACTGGCTTATGGCAGTGGCATCTGCTGTGTCTGGACGACTTGGGCCTCTCTCCACTTGCATCTGACCTTCCCCTCCCCCCAGCTGCCTGGCCAGGGCCTGCTTGTTTGGGGGTGGTCTCAGGGTTCTAGGAGCAGCAGTAGGGGAGCCTGTGCCGCAGTTCTTTCCTTGTTTCTGCTCCTTTCTCATTCGCTGCCACCCCATTGGTCAAAGCAGGTCACGTGGAGGAGGGTGTGGAACAGGGAGCCAGGAACAGATAGGAGGTGGCAGTCTGACGTCTCTCACAAGCACCGTGTGTGCCATTCACATTACTGCTGTTCATTATCAGGGTCTCTGATTGCTGGTGGTCTTGAGCACATCCCTTCCCTTTTCTGGGCCTCTTTCCCCATCTGTAAAGTGGGCTGTTGGACTTGATTCATGGTTTTCAAACTGCTGGGGAATGGCCTTTACAGAATTGGGCTTCTTACATTCCCAGGCCAAAACATGAAGGCAGAGCCAAAGGTGGCTGAGGTCCAAGAGGGAGACCCCCACAGACATGCGTAAGGCCCGTTTCCTCCCTAAACTGAGAACACCTCTAACTTCACCAAGTATTTCTTGGAATGCAAGGAGTTCAGCCTCTTGCTGAGGAGGAGGCAGAGGGTAGAACTTGGGGATCCTGATCTCAAGAGCAGCCTCATTTCTATGCCACTTATGGGGCCTTTGAGAAGGGCAACTTAGGAGGTTGCCAAGCTGTCCTTGCTCTCGCCAGGAGAGACCCTGAGACAATCACTCCGCACGTCTCCAGCACCCACAGGCATCTGCCTGGAGGTTTTGCCTGTGAAGTCTGCCCCTGCCAACGGGCATTGTGATGGGCCAGAGGTCATGCCAAGGGGCCATGTGAACTTTATGGAGCTCTTGGGAGTTGACCCAGGATGATCAAGTGTAGCCAAGATCTTGAGTAAGGGGCAGCAGAATGCTAACAGTGGAGGCTGTTTTTATAAAATACCAAAAATAAACATGCCTAGACCACACAGAACCAGAGCAGAAGTGAAAGAAAAATCACCCGTGACCACGCCATCCCAGGAAACTGCCCAGTGGCGTTTTGTCCTGTTCGTTTCAGTGTCTCTGGGCAGATATGACTTACTTTCTTTTTTTCTTAAAGAGATTTTTGCTGTAGGGTCCATGTACTCAGTGGAGAGACAGGCAGAAAGCGAGAAATTTCTCCCCATGGGGGATGACCATGCTGCAATCCCTTCTCTTCTATTTACCTCTTGGGATTTTGGATACATACACACACATGCCTGGCATGTTTCAAGCCACTGGGTCCAGGACTCAAAACCATGATGGACTATGTGGGAATCCAGTGCCTTAACCGTTACACCACTGCTGGCCCAATTTTTTTTTTTTTTCTTTTTAAAGTAAATTTTATTAAAGTACTTTTTTAAGTTCTTTTTTTACAATAGGCATATGCTCGTGGAGAGAGAGAAAGGGAAAGTGAAAACTCACACCACAATCCCCTTTTCTCCATTCTCCTCTTAGGGTTTTGGGCATATGTGTGCTCTGCAGAAATTTGAAGACATCTGGTCTGGGACTTGAACTGCAGAGTTGGCCATGTGGAATCCAGCCGCCTTAAGCACCATACCACATGGTGGCCCATAAAGTCTAGTTGGGGGAGTTTGGCCAAATGTAACTCATGTAACCACCACCTCACCAAGACGTAGAACACAGTTCCTGGAGGACAGATATGCTTGCCAGAGAGACAGACAGAGGAAGAGAAAGCACACTCAAACGGATGTGGTCATGCTGCAATCCCTTCTCCTCCGTCCTGTTGGGATTTTGGGCACATGTGCACATGTGCCACTGGGGCCAGGATTCAAACCACAGTTGGCCATGTAGGATCCAGCTACCTTAACCACTAGGCTACAGGGCCAGCCCATTCAAGAAGTATAAACAAGATATATACCACACAGATTTACAATGATTTTTAAAAAGATTTTGTAGGTGAGCTGGCAGGTAGTGTGGAGATTAAGGTGCCAGGTCCCACATGGCCAGCTGTGTGGTTCAAGTCCTGAAACTAGTGGCTTGAAAATCACAACGGGTGTGTAAGTGTGTGTGCCCTAAGTCCGAAGAGGGAAAAATATATACCTCTTATCTTAGAAATTCCCCTTCTCTATAAATAGTGCTCAAAGGGACTTTTTGCACAATTCCTTTTTTGTGTGTGCTGTTTTCTCAGGCTGACTGTGTGGAAGTAAGGTGGGTACCAAAGGGTCAGAGAGGTTGGTGTTGAACCTCCTCCATGGCTCTCAGAGTGAGGTACCAGGATCCTCGTCTAGCCACATCTTCCCCAGCATGGCTTATGCGATCACCGCCGTCTGTCTCCAGAGCTGGTTTTTTGTTTGTTTGTGTTTTCAGTTTTTGCTATAGGGCATGTGCGATCGCCTGGGGAGAGGAGGAGAGAGAGGGAAAGTGAGAAATCACATCTTCCCACACACCAAGGGGGATGGCCACATGGCAGTCCCTTCTCCTTCATTCGCCACTCGGGATTTTAGACATGCACACATTCCTAGTGTGATCCTCAAGGCCAGGACTCGATTGTGGAATTGACCATGTGGGAGCCAGTGCCTTAACCTCTGTGCCACCTGCTAGCCCTCCAGAACTGTTTTTTAAATCCAGTTTTGGATGTAGTGTTTAAATGCTGGAAGTTTCATGAAGAAGAGAGCTTGGGTCTGGGTCGAAGCGTATGGGCGGAGGCTTCCTGGAGGGTGGCCGATGGCACGGAGGGCCAAGTGTTGGATGTTCAGCACTCTGAGTAGCAGGGCCGCGGTCTGTTGGCAGCTCCTGCCCCCCGAGGATTACCAGCGGTTTCTGGACCTGAGCGTCTCCATCGCTGAGAACCGCAGTGCCTTCAGCTACCACTGCAAGACTCCGGACTGCAAGGGCTGGTGCTTCTTTGAGGACGACGTGAACGAGTTCACCTGCCCTGTGTGCTTCCATGTCAACTGCCTGCTCTGCAAGGTGGACCGGGGACCCCCTGCTTAGTCGCCCTCATCCTGCCGGAGCGCAGTGCAATGTGGTGCTTGTGTCCCTGGGAAGGAGTACGAGCCTGGCCCGGGCATCAGGGTGTCATGAGGGAGAGCTGCCTGTCAGCGAGTCTGGCTTGGGCTCAGAATCGAGCCCTGAGCTCACAGCCCCAGCCCTGGCCCCATGCAGAGCTCTAAACTCAGCCCTGAATGAACTCTGGCCCTGAACCAAGTCCAGGCCCTGGGCTGACCCCACTCTGGCCCATCACAAACTGAGTTCCAATGCTATCCGAGTCTGACCCAGGACTAAGCTCGAACACTGGACTGAACACTGACCCTGTCCCATCTGAACCAGAACCCAGACTAAGCCCAACCCTGGCACCAGACCAAGTCTCAACCCCTATCCTGAACCGAGCAGGGGCTCCAGACCCAGACCGAGCCCTTGCCTGGTCTGTCCCTGCCTCCACCGCCTCAAAAGTCCACCATTAAAGTGAGGAGCAGGATGACAGGGTAGGAGCCTGCTCTTGGACCCAGCCCAAGTGAGCGCAGTCTCCCAGCACTGGGTCTGTAAGCGGGGCAAAACCAGGCAGTGACGTGGCGGCCGCAGCTTAGGGGAGAGGCTCCAGGGATGTCTGTGCCCATCAGAACCGAAAACAGGAATATTCCGTCGGCATCCTTAGTGATGACCCTGGCTTCATTGCTCTGCCCAGTGCCCTCCCTGTGGAAGGGGTGTGGTGTGCTAGGCAAGGCCGTCACCGACCCATCTGGAGGCATTACATTACGTGTTTGCACAGTGCCGGCTCTGCCCCACCTCCCCCCCTGTTTTTTTTTTTTTTTTTTTTTTTTTTGAGAGGTTTTTGCTATAGGGTGCGTGCACTCACCAAAAAGACAGACAGAGACAGAGAGACAGAAAGCGAGAAAATCACCCCTCAGGGAGGATGGCCACTTTGCAATCCCTTCTCCATTGTGCTCTTGGGATCTTGGACATGCATGCACACTGAGCTGGGACCCTAGACCTAACCTAGACTGAGCCCTTCCCTGATCTGTCCCTGCATCTGGCGCGAGTTTAAGCCACTGGGTCCGGGACTCGAACTGCGGTCGACTACATGGAAGTCCAGCGACATAGCCGTTAAACTAACTGCTGGTCCCTCTCCTAGCTTTTTAATCCCCTGCGGAACCATCTCACCTTTAGCCCCTCAACCCTGCAGGCCATCCATGAGAAGATGAACTGCAAGGAGTATCAGGACGACCTGGCCCTGCGGGCTCAGAATGACGTGGCCGCCCGGCAGACCACAGAGATGCTGAGGGTGAGGCTGGGAGAGACTGGGGCCTCGGGGGTTGAGTTTGGTGCCTATTCAGCGGGTCAGTGCATTTTAGAACAGGCTGTATTTACACAGGAGCCTCTGACCTCCCTTCTGGCTGTCATTCCCATCCAGAGATGGGACTGAGCCTGGGTGTTCAGGTAGTGAGTACGAGGAGAGTGGCTGGGTGTGGGGAAGAGACCCTGGACAAAGTGGTGCTGGCACAGCCCGGCCTGGGTGGAGCCACACGGGAGGGTGGAAGCCAGTTCCTCCCGGCAGCAGGGAAGGGGCCGAGAGCAGAGCCAGGCCTGTGCTGCCCTGTTCCCTGCCGAGGTCAGCGTCTTCCCTGTTTCAGCTGATGCTGCAGCAGGGCGAGGCCATGCACTGCCCGCAGTGCCAGATCGTGGTGCAGAAGAAGGATGGCTGCGACTGGATCCGCTGTACCGTCTGCCACACCGAGATCTGCTGGGTCACCAAGGGCCCACGCTGGGGCCCCGGGGTGAGTGCTGGGGACAAGGGCCCGGGACTGTGGGGAGGAGCCTCTACTGGGCTTGCCCTCAGGGAGGGCTCCAAAAACTGCAGCCTTTGGGCCCGGTCCAACCAGTCCGATCCACAGCCTCTACAGGTACCGGGTCTTCGGGAAAGTCATGATGTAGTTTTCTGTTTTCTTATGCAAAAATGCGTCATGATTTTCTGACTACCCAATAAAAAAGTTGTTTACATTTTTTTAAAGAATTATTCAATTTTTATTCATTATTATCATTATTCTTCGATTTGCTGTAGGGCATACATGCTCACAAGAGTGAAAGTGAGAGAGAGAGGGAGAGAGAAACCACGCTGCCAGCTCTAGGACTTAAACCGCAGTCAGCCATGTGGGAGTCCAGTACCTCAACCACCGTGCCACTTGCTGGCCCCACAGTTTCTGTTTTTAACCTTGCTATAGGGCATGTATGTTCACCAGAAGTCACCCCCAGGACGGATGGCCATGCTGCAGTCCCTTCCCCTTCATTCTCCTCTCGGGATTTGGGACATGCACACATGTGCTCAAGCTGCCAGGCCCAGGACTCGAACTGCAGTTGACCATGTGGGGATCCAGCTGCCTTAACTTCTACACCATCTGCTGGGCCTGTTTTTTTACATCTTTAAGTAGTTACAACAAATACCGAAAGATGAGTACTATTCTATGACATGAACTCCGAGTCTGCATCCTGCACAGTTTTGTGAGCACAGCCGTGCTTCTCATTGACCTGTGGTTCATTTTGCACTACTGAGGCGGAGATCATGTGACCTCCCGTGCTGCAATAACTGGCCCTTCACAGGAAGATATTTGCCCATCCCTGCCCCAGAGGAGGAGTTAAGGTTCCGTGTGGAGTTGGAAGGGGAGTGGTCTCTCTGCGCCTCAGTTTTCTCCCCGAAGTGCCCAGCAGAGTCCCTGTCCCATGAGGAGCACTCTAACAACTGTCACAGTTGGGCTGTGTCTCTGGATACGTACAGGCAGACCTGAAGGCAGATGGAGACAGAGGAAGCCGCCTTGTGCTGCCCCGAGATGTGACCCCCCTGGGATGTGTCAGAGCCTCCTGTCCTCTCTGGCTCTGGGGCCTCGGGGTGGTAGACCGACATGTAACGGAGATGCTGAGGGAGCTCACACTAGCCACAGTGACTCTCGGTTTGGGCTCTGAGGCAAGAGGTCATTCTTAGCAGCTTGTCTGCAGGAGCACAGGCCCAGACTGGGAGCAGAAGCTCAGCTCTGGGGTGTGTCCTCCCTGAAATCCTCACCTCTTTCTCCAATCTTTAGGGCCCAGGAGACATCAGTGGGGGCTGCCGCTGCCGGGTGAATGGAATTCCTTGCCACCCAAGCTGTCAGAACTGCCACTGAGCTGAAGATGGCTGTGTCCCATGCCCACCCAGCCCCACGTCCATTGGCTGCTGTGGGCAAAACTGGGCTGGGTAGGCGCCTGGGCTCTGATTTCTGGCCTGAGTTGCCCTGTACTTGGCCAAGGCACGGCCCTGCAGAGCCAAGGCCTCTGAGCTGTGAAGTAGCCTGCTGGCAACAGGTGGGGCTCCTGCCTGGGCTGGCTGTTGCCCCTGGTCACATCTTCCCTGGTGCCTTCGCCCTTCCTCTGGGGCTGGCCGGCTGGACCTGTCATCCTTTCCCCGTGGTCCCCACCCCAGCCCCAGCTGTAAACACAGGCCCTGGCCGCGGCCTTGCTGGTGGCACCTCTGCGACTGTGCACTCCTCCCACCCACCACCCTCGTCTGCTGAACGAGCGCTCAGCCTCCCCCTTCCTCCTGTTGGCTCTCTGGGGGTGACTTTTTTGCCTTTGCTGCTGGAGGCCTGGGGCCTCAGAACTGCTGACTGCTTTGAGCTGGGGGGACCTGGTGGTTTTGAAAGCACAGCCTCCAGGCCCAGCTCTGTGTTCCCTCTGCCGCCTGTGTGAGATGATTAAAGTGGTTTTCCAGGAAGGAGTGTGATGTCCTTGGGTGGGAGTGAGTGTGGGCTGGGGCTCCACACGTGGGCCAGGCCTCAGGAGACTGAAAGCTTGTGACTGAGCCCTGGGCTCCTGTGCTGGCTTTGGTGCTACGGTGGCTGGGTCAGCGGAGGCCCAGACTGCAGAGTGCGGTGTGTCTGGGGCCTGCAAAGGAGGGTCTGCAGATCAGTGTGGGCCTTGGAGGCCACAGGGGCCGAAGCAGCAGCATGGACCACAGGAATGTCTTGCAGCCCCCTTCTACCCTCGTGGCGGGCACCCAGGATCAAAGATGGCTCAGGACAACTTGAAACTGCTGAGGTTGAGCAAGACTGTCGGTTTAATCTTCCTCTCAAGCAAGATGGCCAGGTGTAGATCAGCAGTCTCTATTAGGATGCTCTCTGCTGGTTGGAGATTAACAGTGCTCCATCCTGGGGTGTCTGTTCTGTGGGTGTTCCCTCCACACTGACTCCCGTTCCTGTGTTCAGATCTAGCATCTGATGCCCATCGGCATGTTTTCCGCTGCAGTGTGGGCACCATTAGAGCAGGTGAGGGCCTCTGCTGTTCAAGGCTGTACTCGGGCTCTGCACTGGGGCATGAGGTCTTGTGGGCAAGGGGCTGCTCTAGGCCCGGGACAGACAGGGCGCCCTGTCACTGGATGCCAGGACTTGTAGGTGGGCTGCTGCTTCCCAGTTCTGCCAGCACTGGCTAGGGCCACTGTCCTTGCGAATGAAGGCACACTAGGCGCCTCACAGCTCCAGGGGAGAGGATCAGTGGAGGCACCCACCCGGTGGGGGAAAACAAGCTGAGGATGGTGCATCTGCCGAGTGACAGCTTCAGGGTCCTACCCTCACCCCCAGACCACCTCCAGAGAGGGTCACAACTCCTCTGTAGTGCACTAGGCTAGCCCCAGTTGGCCCCAGGTGCCTTCCACTGGCAGTGCCCACTGCACCTCTTCACAGGGCCCAGACCGCAGGCCTCACAGACTAGACTGTCCACACCAACTGCGAGTCTTCCCTTTGGACACTGCCTGCTGGGATTGAGCATCGGGAACCAGTGTGAAGGGGTCTCTTGAGACTGCCCCATCTCTCAGTGGCCAGGCCAGCTGGGTTCCTGTGACCTTAACCTTTCAGGCTCAGTAGTTTGTTAGAACAACTTACAGAACTCAAGAAAGTGCTGTACTTCTGTCTTCCGGTTTATTATAAAAACAGTGTGGGCTAGCTGGTGGTGTGATGGTTAAGGCAGGTGGATCCCACGTGGCTGACTGCATGGTTTGAGGCCCAGACTGGCTGGCTTGAAAAAAAACATGCCAGATGCCTGTGCGTGCCCCAAATCCTGGGGAGGGATGCATTCTCACTTTAGCTCTCCAGGCAAGCTCACATGCCCTATAGCAAAAAAAAAAAAAAAAAAAGAACCAGCCAATGAGAGATGATTAGGGCAAGATACTAGGGGTTGTGGAGGGGTGCACATAGCTCCCAAGCCCTCCTTTGTACCTGGTGCCCACCCACCCCAGGAGCATGCGGAGCCCCATTCAATTTTTAAAAAAGAGTTATTTTAATTATTTAAAAAAATTTTTACCAGAGAGGGACAGAGCAAGAGAGAGGGAGAAAGAAAGCAAGCCACCAAGTCTGAGAATCAAACCACGGTGGGTCACATGGGAGTCCAGTGCCTTTAACCACCGTGCCACCTGCCAGCCCCATGTTCAATTTTTTTTTAATGGCAGAGGGTGTGAGACAACTAAGGTGGAATGGGGAGAGAGAAAGCATCCCCTACAAGGCTTGGTCACCCTGTAAGCTACGATCCTTTTTCCTGCATGTTTCCGTCCTGTTATGGCACATGTACTCCCAGTTTTTCAAGCTGCTGGGTTGGGACTCAAACCCTGGTTGGCTACGTGGGATCTGGGATCTGGCTTCCTCCGTGTAGCTCCTAATGCTGCCCTGCAGGGCAGTTCCCCCACTCATCACTTTGTCTTTCTGGTGACCTTTCTCATCCTGAGGCTTTCCAGGGGTCCCAGTTTAGGCCGCCTCATTAGCATAAACTCAAGTGAGAACAAAAGGGGATCATTAAAAAGAATGAAACACTCCTATCATCCAGGAGATTTCAAGTTTTAGGAGCCCTGTGTCAGGAATGAGAGACAAAGACCAAGTATCATTGTCATTACTTTTCAGAGATTTTTACCCACCTGAGAGACAGAAAGCAAGAAATCAACCCCCCAGGCATGCAATATGCAGCCAGCATGAGTTTTGATCCACTGGGTCCAGGACTTGAGCTACAATCTGCTATGTGGGAGTCCAGCAACGGAACCATTATGCCATCTGTTGGTCCTGACCAAGTAGTATTTTATACACACCTTTACTTCACTCCTACAATTACCAAAATTCTACTTTTTAGGATAGAGCATGTGTGCATGCAAGAGTGCAGGGGAAGTGATCCCCTTTCCCAAGCCCTCCAACCCCTCAGGACCCTGAGCACCTGAGTGTGCACCTTGTGTGTTTTCAGGGTGAACCTGAGGTCAGCTGTGGGGCCTCCAGCTTTGCAGGGCAGCTGCACCACTGAGACTGGGCCGTAACTTCCACCCATTTTCTTAAGTTCAAGCATCAACTCCTATTTGCGCTCAAAACAAAGTACTCCCTCAATTGATGTGAGCCCCCCAGAGGCAGGCAGGGCAGCATCCTGGCCAGCCCTGTGTACCTCTCGACAGGTTACAGGGCAGCATGGGCCTTCAATGGTGGGACATGGTCAAGGAGCTGAGACGCTGGGCAGCCTCAGGTGCCTTCACCTGTTCCCTCTGGGCCGGGAGACATTAATACCTTAATTCACACTTCAGGTCTTAGATGGACCCATCCCCCAGGGTGGAGGCAACAGGAAGCACTGCCCTGCTTCCACTACCCTGCAGCAGGGTGTAGAGGATGCTGGAAAGCTTGGTAAAGGCTCTCAGGAGCAGCAGGTGGTGAAGCGGTTATGTCACTGGACTCCCACGTGGCTAACTGCCAAAAAAAAAAAAAAAGAAAGAAAATCACTGGATGCATATGTATGTGTGCCCAGGATCCAGGAAGAATGGAGAAGGGACTGCAGTATGGCCATCCCCTCTGGGGGACACTTTTCCTCTCGCTGTGTCTCTCTCCAGAAAGAAAGAGGAAAAAAAAAAAACAAACAAACCGGCTCTCAGCGGCTCCTTGTGGGTGGAAGCTGTGTGGAGGGAAAACTGCATTCACATCAGGCTCTAGGCTGGGAAACCACTCCAGCCTTTAGAGCCAAAGGCATCCAGGATGAGGGGAAGAGTCGAGAGCACTCCAGCCTCATATCCCACACCACCTGCCTGGCTTAACTGTGACAGGGCCAGGCAGCAGCTGAGTGCGAGTCACACTTCTTGCAGGCGAAACCAAGTCAGGGCCAACCAGGAGCTCATGGAACCCAACAGTCCTGGGCTTGTCATGGAAGGCGAGAGCGTCAGGGCAGGTGTTTAAGGCTAGGATCCCTTGAAACACACGGTGGGCAAGGGCAGGATGACAGAGGCGGGGATTAATAACCTGTATATTTATTTCATACAGGGCTCTGTACAAAATATTTACAGATATTCTTTACAGAATAAGTAAACCACCTGAAGGTAAGTAGGTAAATGCTTTCTTCTCGTTGGCAGGGAGAATTGGAGTGCCAGCAAAGCCATAAAACTTTCTCCTTCGGTCACAACACGAGCAAATGCCACTCAATACCTAGGCTCCAAGTAGCTGTGGCCTTGGGTCCCCGGTCACACGCACCTTCTCTCCTCTTCCCCAGAGTCTGCACACAGGCTCAGGTGAGTGTGGCAGGAGGGGCAGAGGCTGCTGCCCATTGGTTAAGGTGCCAGGACAAACTTGCTGTGCGAGAAGACGAGGAACCTTTGCCGCATCTCACCTCTGGATCCGGGAAGGATTTCCTTTGCCCTGATGAATCTACTACTTTCTAAATCCACCTACCCACATCACACTCACTCCAGAGGAGGCGCCTGCTATGGAGAATGGCCCATCACTTTGAGTTTTTTATGATTTTAAAGTGCTTAGTATAAATCAGAGAGGACCCCTCCCCTAACTGTTCTGGGCTCCAGGCTGTGGCCTGGCCTGCTGAAGGCCCTGTACCCGGCTCTCGGGGTGTGGTACCTTCTGACATATTAACTTTAAGAAAACCCCTGCTGGGGCCAGCAGGTGGCGTGGTGGTTAAGGCGCTGGACTCCCACACGGCCAACTGCGGTTTGAGTCCTGGAACTGGCGGTTTGCTTTCTCCCTT